ATGCAACGAGTGCGCGTGCGATGTGGAATGCGTTGAAAACGCACCACGAAAAAGCTACTGTGACGTCACGGATTTCGTTGCTCAAAAAGTTATGCAACAAGAATTTGCACGAAGGAGGCGATATGGAATCGCACCTGCTGGACGTCGAGGAGCTTTTTGATCGGTTGCAGGCGGCTGGTTTGGAGCTCGAGCAGGAGATGAAAGTGGCCATAGTTTTGAGAAGCATTCCGGAAACGTACAATGGCCTGGTGACTGCGCTCGAGAGTCACCCCGACGAGGATATTACGATGGAGCTGGTGAAGTCAAAACTTCGAGACGAATACCAGAAGCGGATGGATCGTGGTCGCAGCTCCGATGACAGCAAGGCACTGAAGACGATGGCGAAATCGAAGTCTGCGGAAAAGGTTTGCTTCCATTGTAATAAGCCCGGCCATTATCGCAAGAACTGCCGGAAGTATCTGGCTTCACTGAAAGGCGAGCCGGATAACCAGAAGCAGCAAGCATCAGGAAGCAGCAGGAGTTCCAATGGACCAAAGGCGAAGCAAGCACAGGATTCCGGTGCACCCCTACTATTCTGGGCGAGTGCAGGTCGAACCACCGATGCCGAGGAGGTGAAGTGCTGTTTTGCAAACGGTTTGAAGAGCTACTGGTTCGTCGATAGCGGCGCGTCGCAGCATATGACAGGCGACAGGAGATTTTTCTCGGAGCTGGTGGAAGACGTGCATGTCGATGTTACTCTTGCGAACGGGAAGAAGACAGTTGCTGCAGGCGTCGGCAACGGGATGCTGCTGTGCGTGAACGGCAACGGAAAGGATCAAGAGGTGAAGGTACAAGATGTCCTGTTCGTTCCAGAGCTGGAAGGTAGCCTGTTGTCAGTAAGTAAGCTAGTAGCTAAGAATATTTCTGTTGTGTTCGATTCACATGGATGTCGAATCCGAAATACCAAGGGCCATACGGTGGCCGTCGCCGACCTGTGCGACGGGATGTATTTGTTGAGATGTTCTGCGAGGTCTATGGTTGCTGCTACTGCTCGGCATACCGATTTCTGCCAGCATACGTGGCATCGTCGTTTTGGCCACAGGGACTACGACGTGGTGGACCTGATCAACAAAAAGGAGCTCGGCACCCAGATGAAGGTGGTTGATTGCGGGATAAAGCTGGTGTGCGAGTGTTGCCTTGAAGACAAGCTGCACCGGCAGTCGTTCCCGAAGGTAGCGCAGAGGCGTGCAACGGAAATACTCGAGCTAGTGCATTCGGAAGTGTGCGGTCCGTTCAAGCACGTCACCCCAGGAGGAAAAAAATACTTCCTCACATTAATCGACGACTATAGTCGATATGCTACGGTCTATCTTCTGGCAAATAAGTCTGATGTGCCTGGGAAGATCAAGGAATTTGTGAATATGGTTAAGAACCAATTCGACAGGAAACCGAAGGTGATAAGGTCAGATAACGGTGGCGAGTTGGTAAACAACGAGCTCCGAAGTTTTTTCGCTGAGGAAGGCATTAAAGCTGAGTACACTACCCCATACTCCCCTCAGCAGAATGGGGTAGCCGAACGAAGAAATCGTTACCTCCAAGAAATGGCATTGTGTATGCTTATCGATGCCAACGTTCTGAAGGAATTCTGGGGTGAGGCAGTGTCGACAGCGACGTTTCTCCAGAATCGGCTGCCATCCCGTTCCGTCGACCGGACGCCGTTCGAACGCTGGTTCGGACGTTAGCCAGTGATGCGGGATCTGAAAGTTTTCGGATGCGAGGCCTATGTCCACATCCCAAGCGAGAAGAGGAGAAAGCTGGAGAGCAAGGCCAAGAAGATGATTTTCATTGGCTACTGTAGCCAAGCCAAGGCGTATCGGTTCCTCGATTTGGAGACTCGACGGGTGACTATTAGCAGAGACGCTCACTTTCTGGAGCTGGGAGCGGAGATCCGTTCAGAAGGAGATTGCGGCTCAAAGGATGTTGAAGTCGTGATCGGCCGAACCGAAGAGGATTTGATTCCGGAAGTGGTCTCGGATGAGGATGAAGAAGATAACGAAGACGGTGATGAATCTTTCTATTCCGGATCAGATGAGCAAAGCGATTCAGCGGGAGATACGGACGGGGAAGCCACAGGAGGAGAAGCTAGTGGCCTGCGCCGATCGCAACGAAGCACGCGGGGTGTTCTTCCGCAGCGGCTGAACGACTATGCAGTAGGGGAGGCTAGCCTAGCTACCTACTGCAGTGAAGAACCGACGACGTACGAGCAAGCGATGGCTTCCGTTGACAAGAAGAAATGGCTGACAGCGATGAAGGAGGAGATGCGTTCCCTGGAAGAAAATGATACCTGGGCGTTGGTGAAGCTTCCTGTGGGGCGCGAACCCGTTGGTAGTCGATGGGTGTTTAAGAAGAAGGAGGATTCGGATGGCCAAGTTGTGCGCTTCAAGGCCAGGGTTGTAGCGCAAGGCTATTCTCAGCGATTCGGGCGTGACTTCGAGGAAGTGTTCGCGCCGGTTGCGATGCAACAAACATTCCGGGTACTACTGGCTATGGCGAGCAGCAAGAAGATGGAGGTGAGGCATATTGACGTTAAGTGTGCTTACCTCTACGGCCAGTTGAAGGAGGAGATTTTCATGACTCAGCCACCCGGTTTCGAAGTTCCCGAAAAGAAGGACTGGGTCTGCAAGCTAAACCGGAGCATCTATGGCCTGAAGCAGGCCGCTCGGGTTTGGAACCATACTATAAAGGATTTCCTCATTAGCATTGGGTTCCAACAGTCTGCCTCGGATGCCTGCTTGTTCATCAAGGATCTGAGGAACGGAGAGCGAATGTACCTGCTCTTATACGTGGACGACATGATCGTCGTTTGTCGTTTGCAGGAGGAGATCCGCAAGGTTGAGGAGCAGTTACGGAAGAAGTTCAACATCACTTCCTTGGGAGTAATCCGTCATTTTCTTGGGATCAGTGTGAAACGAGGAGCGGATGGAGTTTACTCAATCAACCAAGCATCTTTCATCCGGAAGATTGTCAAGGTCTACGATTTGGAGGAGGCGAAACGGTCGACTATTCCGATGGATACTGGCTACTACAAGAGCAGATTGGAGTCGAAGAGCTTGGCGAACAACGTCGAGTATCATCGTTTGATCGGATCGCTGCTGTATATTGCCACCCATACCAGGCCTGATATAGCAGCATCAGTGTCAATATTGAGCCGGAAGATCAACAACCCCTTGCAAGCGGATTGGAATGAACTCAAGCGGATTGTAAGGTACTTGCGCGGAACGGTGGACTACAGATTGTACTTCGATGCTGGCAACCTGAAGCTGGAGGGTTTCTGCGACGCCGATTGGGCAAGTGACACTGCCGATCGGAAGTCGAACAGCGGATTCGTCTTTCTTCTTGGCGGTGCAGCTGTGAGCTGGGGAAATCGCAAGCAATCATGCGTGTCTACTTCAACGATGGAAGCCGAATATGTGGCGTTGGCAGAGGCTGGACAAGAAGCTGTGTGGCTACGTAGGCTGTTGAAGGAGCTCAACGAGGAACAACATAGTTCAACCATCGTTTAGGAAGACAACAAAAGCTGTTTGGATTTCGCTACTCTGGAGAAGCAGAACCGTCGTTTCAAGCACATAGATACTAAGTATCACTTCACCAGAGAGCTTTCATCATCAGGGGAGATTATCCTGAAGTATCGCGAAACGGACAACATGGTCGCGGACATAATGACAAAACCGTTGGGAGCTGTCAAGGTTCGGAAGTTTTCCGAAATGCTGGGCCTCCGGAGTGAAGCAGCCGGCCAACCCTGAACATCGAGGAGGAGTGTTGAACCACTTTGTTCCCACAGGGCATATAGTGCGATGTCACAGAGTTGGTAACCCTATTCTATCTCTTTGTTTTTGCTATCGATCAGTTACAAATTAAACGCAATTCAGTTAAGTACAATAAAATCGCGAGTCATATTTTATTACCCCGAATTCCACACTTGAATCACGCGGATTCCACTGCCCAAACCTCCGACAAAAATAATATCAATTCGTCAGTTGGCGTGAAACTGCTCAAATATACTATCCCGGGGTCAGAGTCAGTGTCGAAGTCTGCAGACATATTTTCTAGGAGGTGGACTTTGAATATTTGCCACCGACTCCACAACCCTGGTTAAAACCTAAATACGAATATTGCCTCAAATGAATCCAATACATGCTTTTTCATTGTTCGAAAAATGCTTATTTCTGCCCAAGTTTTGGGTAATAGTTCGATAGTCAGAGCAATGACGAGCATTAGTACTATAACTGAACACATCATATCGAGAAAACGGGGAACTTTTTCAAAATCCCAACGACATTTACAGTAGCGCTGCGCTTGAGCGAAGGTGCATGCATCGCATAGAAAAATTAACAAACACACAATCCTCTCTTCTGAGGTTGAAATCTTTGCTATCAAATTCCCTCGGAGAATTTATGTTTCAGTGGCAGATGACGCGGTTGTGTCTGTCTTATAGCGGTCGTATGGGAAAACCAGAAAAATGCAAATCTTCTTGATATGTTGCCTTTGCCATAATCCTATTTTGAAAATTAAACCATCCCACAAAAAAAACCAATACAAATGCACTCTCCCATGCACTATGTACACAAATAGAAAAATAACGCAGTATGGTAATTGTGCCGGAAATGGCTCTAATGTTGGCGTATGAATCTAAAGATTGGGTCCATCAATAAAAACACCTGTTCTAATATTTTTTTCATTGGTCGTCATCTGGACAATGCAAATGGAAAATTTTGGTTGCTTTAGAAAAATTACAAAAAATATTTTCTTTCGAAAGTTGTGTATGCACACTAGGGTGCTTCATTTTAAAAAAGGTGATGAATTTTTTGGTAGGCCACTCTCCGGTTTGATTTATGATCCCATAAAATGAGCCTGTGCAAAAATGATAAATGTTGATGAAGGTTTAGCTGTCATTAAAATTTATTTCAAAATTGAGCATTAGTCTCATAATTGCAACACATTCTTTAATCACAGAAACTCACCTGCTTGATCATGAACCGAAGCAGCGGCGGAAATATCCCGAAACTGAACACCAACCCACCGACCAGCGTACAGGCACATATGATGGCAATCTTCTTGAAGTTCAACTCTTCCAGCTTCATTCTTCCGACCTTATTCTTTATCGAATCAGTCGTTAAGCAAGACAAACACCGATGACTATTTCCGTCACACTATTCAAAGTCACGAATACGCTTCAGCACTGATGATGCTTTGCACTGCGAACTGCGTAAAAACGAATGTAGGTAGTTGATTTTGTCCTGTCAGTAGGCGGAAATGGATTCGTCGCTTGCGAATGCACTCGAAGCAGCTGTTGACTGAAGGTTCCTGAAATAGTATACACAGTTCACAATTTCAATCGAGTTTTATCTAACTTAATTAAAGGGGTTCATACATGAGCTACGGAAGCAATTCTGAAACATAGAAAATGTACCAAAGTAAATTGCACCGCCAAACACAACATAACATACCGCCAAAATAATTCAGGCACATTTTGATTTTTCCAAAAATATTGAAAGAAAACCATCAAATTTACATGTTAAAATATTCTCATATTCTCATCATGAAAAAAAGTTAGACTGTAAACAAAACCGAAAGGTCGATTTGTGTGGTTTTTTTGAGTCCAACTTTTTACCATGATGACTTAGATGGAAATATTTTTAAACGTTAATTTATTTTGTAAACACTGTTTTTTTTTAAATATATTTTTGATATCTTTTCCAATATTGTTATAAAAATCAAAAGGTATTTTTCTTTTCTGAGTGATAAGCTTCCCCTTAAAGTTGAGAGTCGGCTAAACAAGAAGCGTCATAACCTAAGAATTTGTTATGCTGACGCACCCCGGGAACTATTTGAGAGCTCCAGGGTAATGCCAATGAACCCTGAGGATTCTGGTACTCTGGTTCTGTCAAAATGAATTATGATGGAGTAAATTTACAGATGATCTTATTTGTGGTAAGCTCTTATTTTCCCGTTATTAAGCTTTTCATCTTTTTACTTTTTATAAAAAAAAAACATTGATATTTTTTATCTCATAGTCTTCCAATCGACTCGGCAACCACTCTACCGAATTGAACGCAACAACCACCAAATGAAAGGTACCATGATTCTATAGAATGTTTATTGATAGATTTTCAATCGATTGACAGTTAACAGTTGCTCGGTTGAAGGCATATGGCGGGCCACATTGCCAGTTTCTAAGTAAAGTTCGAGCCACTCTCAGCGCCGTAGTGTACAAGTGACGAAAAGGCCAATGAACCCCGAAAGCTTAAGGGGCAATTTCAAATGTAGTCTGACTAAAAGTAAATTGATACGCCCCTCGCGCACCGCTAGCACGCCTCTAGTGTTTACACTTCTATAGAGAACAACTGGTGCAAGTTTGATCAAAGTAGTAGATCGCGTTCAGAAATAACGTCAAATGGAACTCTAAAGAAGAAAAAATATTGTGCGCAAACACATGGAAAATCCGGACTGGTCCGGTTCCAAGCTGGTTAAAATTCTGAAGATGCCGAAAACAACAGTTTGTCGAGTGCTCAAAACCTACAAGGAAACCCTGAGTCTGAAAAGGAATCAGCGGACCTAAGAAAAAACTGGAACCAGGGATCGTCAGCAGGCAGGTGTTGAGGTGCGTTAAAGCCAACCCCGGTCTCTCGATCCGAAATGTGGCAAGAAGGTACAACGACAACTTTCAAACAGTGCGGAACACCTTGCCAGGGGAGGATACAAGTCGTCCGAAGCCAGTAAAAAAAAGCGTGCAAGGCTCTTATATGACCTTGTTTTGACGAAACACAAGAGTTGCACTTTGATCGATGACAAAACATACGTCAAACTCAATTTTAAGCAGCTTCCCGGTAAAAAGTTTTACATCGCGACTGGACGTGGGGATGTGCCGGGAAGATTCAAGTTCGTGTTTTCCAACAAGGTCACGAAGAAGGCCATGATTTAGCAAGCGATTTGCAGATGTGGCCTGAAAACGGAACCATTCGTCACATCCTCGATGATGACATCCCAAGTTTACATCTAAGAATGCCTGAAAAAGCGTGTATTGCCGTTCATCCGCAAGCATAGGGACAAAGTCATCTGTTGACCGATTTGGCCAGCTGCCACTACTCCAAGGTGGCACTGGAGTGGTTTGCTGTAACAAGATCGATTTTGTCCCCAAGCTAATGAATCCTCCGAATTGCCCGGAATTTCTACCAATCGAAAAATACTGGGCAATTTCAAAGCAGCGACTTCGTCGAAGCGGCGAGGCAGTCAAGAACATCAAGCAAGTGCGGGCAAAATGGAAGAAATGCGCTGATTCCGTGTTCGTTTCCACTGAGCGGGCGCTGATGGGCTGCATCGAGAGGAAGGTTCGAGATTTCGTTCAAACTGGCGTAATGTAACCATCTTATGCTGTAACTTGGAAGTTTTAATAAAGTTCTGTAAAGCAACCATTAATGAGCTTTTTAAACTTATTGAATCACGAATTACAGGTCTTTTTGTGTGTACCAATTTACTTTTAGTCAGCCTTTAGATTATATTTAACGACTTTCCACAAAATTCATTGCATCAATATCAATATAAATGTTTAGATCTTACACAAAATGTTTAGACTCACGAACTATGAACAAAATGTTACCTATACAATTGCAACAGATTTTCTAAGTTTTTAAGTTAAAATTTTGAAGTTCGAGATTTCGAAAAATTTACAGAGTCTCATTAAGACTTGAAAAGTTTTCCTAAATACAGAATCATGAAAATTATCCGAAGGTTGCCATACTGAAGACCTTTGAGCTGAATGGCAGTGGCAGTAGAAATATTGTAGTAAGAAATTATTTTTGAGATCTGAGCTTGAAAATAAACTTGGGATCTGTCTTGAACTTGGATGAACTTACAGGATACAAATACAAAGGAATGTCAATGAGAATTGGGATCATTCAAAAGCTATTCCAAATACAACTCCAAGGTAATTCTGGAAAGTATTCTTCCAGGAATTCCGAGGGGTCTAGAAAGTAGTTCTGAAACAGAAACTCAATGCCGTTGTGTGGACAAGTTTAGATAAATTCATTGGGTAATTTAAAAGTCGTTATTACATGGTAATTCTGAAGAGAAATTTCAAAGAATCTCTGAGAAAAACTCAAATAGAATTCAGAGGATAGTTCCAAAAACTCCACAAGTCCAAGAAAATTATGACAAGAGTTTCAAAGCAATGTTTACAAGAACTTCTAAGAAATTCTGACATAGATCTTAAGAGAACTATGATAAGAATTCTAAAGGAATCTGAATCTTAAATTGATTCGATTCCAAAGGAATCTTATTAAGAATTTAATATTTTTGAGAAACGTCAAGGAAGCAGTAGTTTTGAGTTAATTTCCATTGAAGATTAAACTTACAACATGATAGGATAGTGTCCTGAGAGTTTTCAGGAGAATTCAACATAATTAAAAAATATTGATACCGGAATTTTGGGAAAATTCGAACGGTATTTATGACGGAATTCAATGGTAAATTCAAGTGAAATTTTGAAGAAAAAAATTAAAGTGAATTCGGAAAATAATACTAAAAATAAAAAAGAAGAAGCTTTGATGAGTCTTATGGCGTTTTCGATTGGATGATTGAAATTGCTTTTTGGGAAGAGAAAGGCCAAAACCATTCAACCAATCGTCAGAAACGTAAGAACCCAACCGTTTCTACTATAATACTGAGAAAGCTACCCCAAAAAACAGTTAAAAAATTCCAAGGACATCCTGAAAAGAGTCCCAAAAATAATTTTGATCAGAAATCCAAGGGAATCACGATATGATTAAAGTTTCAAAGAATTCTAAGACCCCTGCCAGAGTAAGCCGAGCTGACCAGTAAAAATAATAATTATTATTAATAAGACCAGGATAGCTTCTCGCGAATCACGATTAAGATTCCAAGATACTTCTGAGGAGAATATCAAAGAACTTCAGGAAGCATTTCATGGAATCAACAGTTTTGTGGACAATCAAATGTTAATTCTGGGCATAATGACTATTGTGAAATAACAAAACACATGAAGCATCTTTAAAATGTTTGGTCAGCCTGTGGCCATATATCAAGCTAAACATTGCATTAGGTCCTTAGAAACATTGATCGATTCTCTTAGTCGACTTTCTATTTCCTTATTAACTTGAGCACATAGCTGTTTCTTGTTCTGTGTGTCATATTAGATGCTAGATAAAAGCTTCTTTTATCGATCTGTGTGCTGAAACTACATGGGAATGTCTTTACATGGCCGTGGGAATACAAAGAGAAAGTCGACGAAGAGAATCTGTCAATGTTACTTAGGACCTAATTCAATGTTCAGCTTGATATTCCACAGTCTGAAAGCATTTCTTGGGCCACACAAACTCAGTAGGCCGTTGAATGAGCACCACTTAATCATTTACTGGTTCCGGAGATATGGACGGCACAAGACCACAAAATCGCGGAATTCGCGAACTAAGAAGATGAATTTAGAACATATGAAAATAAATTAATACCCCGTACAGACTATGGCTTATATCATGTAATATAGGCTGTCTTGCAATGAGCACTCTGGGAATCCTATGTATGAGTGCTCATTGCAAGACAGCCTATATTACATGATATAAGCCATAGTCTGTACGGAGTATAAGAATCATCTTTAACATATCTTCAGTAACGTTTGTCTTCAAACTTCAATTCTTATAAATAACAACAATACACAACGAAAGCGATAAGTCATGCAAGGTGTGAACAACGTTAAGGGTTGCTAGTTCGTGTGAACAAATATCGTCACATTCAAAGTGTGAAGTTTATGATTTTCAGAATTGGTTGGAAATGATCAAGATGAAGCTTAAGTGTGATAATTTATTAGTTAGAGAAAGTGGCCCTTCGCTCATTCTCAATTTAACACTGCCGTACTCTAGCGGACCTATCAACCTGCCCTCTTCAGAACTTTCTCTAGCTAGTAAATTATCACACTAAAGCTTCATGTTGATATTATAATAGATAGCATTTCCAACCAACTCTAAATATCATAATGTTGCCAGTTATCTTATTTGACTTTGCGATTATGGGGCTCTAGTTTGAGGTATATCTGGGTATTCTGACCATCTAAAAAGTTGCAGTCTTCGGCAAAGTTGTTCAGAACGCTTAGGCCTTTCAACTGTTGGAGAACATATTGAGTCAGAAGCTTGCCACTATGCAGTGCTAGTGTACATGTGAACTTCTATGATATGGTATATATCGAGATCCTTACCATCTAGGAAGTAAATGTTTTCGACAAAAATGTTTGTGCATACAAACCTTTCTACATAGTGAACAAGTTAGTTAAAGAATCACTCACTATGTGGCACTAATGTACATATGCACTTCCAAAATGTGCTGCACACTTATTTTTTTCTACCGAGCTCGGCTATGCAAATCTCGGCAAAAATAAGTTTCACTGAGATCTCAGAAAAAGTGACATTTGATCGTCTCGGATAATGCTTAGCTGAATCTCAGCAAACAAATGAAATGTTTGCTGAGATCTCAGTAAAAAAAAATTGCCGAGGTTTGCACAGCTGAGCTCGGTAGAAAAAAAAACTAAGTGTGTATATCTCGATATTCTGACTACATGGGAAGTAGCTGCTTTTTGCAAAATTGTTCAGACACCCAAAGTCTATCAAATACTATAGCAGATTAGTTCAAAACTTTTCAACTACGTAGCGCTAATGCACATGTAAACTTCATGCTAGTTGTCGCGATTCTATCCATCTTAGAAGTGTCTGTCTTGGGCGAAGTTATTCAAATAACCAAAGCCTATGAATAATGAGCAGTCAAGTTCAGCCACTACGCGACACTAGTGTATATGTAGACTTTTGTAAACCTAACTGTCTGGGGCATGAAGTAGTTCGCCTCCTCGTGGTGTGCCCTGGAAACGTTAATTATCGAACCCAAGGGAGAGATATTGCGGCTAAACGAACTACAGCAGAGTAAGGACGCTGGAGCCCTATCCAGCTCGTCCCAGGAGGTCGATAAGCCCTGCACAAACCCTCCTTGTGCAAAGGCAGGAGTGACACCGGGTTCTTAGAGTGCTATAAGCACACGCAGCTGGTAAGCGTTCACATCTGTCCTGTGCTGCCGTGGACAGTTGGCTGGCTCTAGAACTCAGGTGAACAATTAACAGCGAACAATAAGAGGAAGGCCCTGCACAGCTGCTCACTGTGCAGTAGCGAGTGGCACGTCTGTGACACACCACTAGTGTGATGCGCCATAGCGCAATCGGCCCCCTCCCATGATGCAATGCTTTCGGGCGGTTCCGGGGAGGGCAAGGGCCAAGAGCACAGGGTAAGGTTTAGTGGGTCGGGAGCGCTACTTCTCCCATCCCCACACCCTGAGTTAACTTCTCAGGTGTCTGGGAGCAGATTCCCCCCTGTATAAAAAAAAAACCTAACTGTCTAGAAAATTGCTGTCTTGGGTAAATTTGTTCAGATATGCATGATGAACAGTTTAGTTAAAATTTCAATCACTAGCGTCCTAAATAGTCATAATCTTGATATATAGCATTCACCGATAGTTTACATGCTCACTAGAGCCACGTAATGAGAGAATTAGGAATACCATGCACACCGTATGAAAAATTCATGTAAATGTCTGCAACATATAACGCACAAGGGGCCTCGCTCAGCTTAGTCGAAGCAGGCATAGCTACAATGCTGAAGGTAGCTGGATTCGATTCCCGGTCCGTTCTAGGAATTTTTCGGGTTGGAAAATTTATCGACTTCCCTGGCCATAGAGTAAGATTCTACTTGCCACACAATTATACGAAAGCAAAATTGGTACAGCCATCAGGGCCCTCAATTAATAACTGTGGAAGTGCATTTAGACCACTAAGTTGAGATCACGCAATAAGCTAATATGCGATAAGTAATAAGCTTGAAATTGGCGTAATATTTCACGATATTTCATGTAAATTAAAGAGCAATATCGCATAAATCTGCAATATTGTATACAGGCTTGTCACGAGGTACAGTACATATTCAATGTTGACATGTGCACTAGTGCCGCGTGGTGAAAGAATTTTATACTAATATAATCACCATCTGAAATGCCTTTGTTACAACTCTGCTGCAGACCAGCTACATTGTAAATGGCCGAAATATCCGAATTCTCCCACTAAGTGGCACTAGTGTTCATATGAGCATCTAGTATGAGCTATATCTTGCTGCTCTGACCACATGGAAAATTGCTGTCTTTGGAAAAGTTGTTCAGACAACCGAAGCAATCATTTTGTTTCTGAAAATATTAAAAATTACATCAAAAATCTAATTATTTTATTTTTTTTTTTGATAATTCATTTTTTCTATATTATCATTCTAAAAAGTTGTATAAAAGTCGAGAATTTCCGGGATTTTTTTTTTCAATATGATAGTACATGTAGTAGTAGAAAAAAATTTTAACCCTTAAATGTTCTTTACAATTTGTGAAAAAAGGGATATTTTATTTTTGATATCAGTTTTTAATTTTTAAATGGTGGTGAGGTTAAGCTACACGTTAAATTAAACCGTTGCCTTTAAACTGATCAATTTTACCCAATGATTCAATGATTTATGAAGGTAAATCGATGGATTCCACAAATAAAGCTTATGTCTACACGATCTTCTTGAAACTTCACGATTTCCACAATTTAAATAATTTCACTTTAATTACCAATCAACTATCACAAAATCTTTTGAAAAAAAAAGACCGTTGACTTGCACTTTCTAACCGATTGTTCCAGAAGCCGCGCGTTCGACCGACCCAAGTTACAAATGGGAAATACCTCGTCGGATTCCATCGCATCATCCGTATATCAATTTAGCAAGCCTATCAATATGATTATAGATTTATATGATTTTCTCTCGACTCATTAAGCTACGTTTCTTATGCCTTAGAAAAGGTTTGCATTTGGGTGTGTTTGCGTGTGACTTTTGTAACCCTGTTGAGTACCGCTTATCTGATATGACCGGATATGACTTATTAATTAAAAGGGCGCTGGGTCATTGGGCCGAAAATCATTGTGCCGAATGAATTTTAGGTCGAATGGCTAGTAGGTCAAATGGTCATTAGGCCGAATTTCGGAAAAGTATTTCATAACACTTGCTAAGAACATTTGATGGTATGAAAAAGAAAATAAACAGCAAATAATATAATGATAATTAAAGCTATTTCACATTGGACTCAATGCGCCACTAATTATTCAATTTCATGTCACAAATAAGAAGAATAAGAAGAATAAAAAAGAAGAAGAATAAAAATAAAAAGAAGAATAAGAAAAAGAAAAATAAAAACAAGTATATAAATTATTACCCAATGTAAACTATCAGTCAGCCAAATAGTTTGGTATAACAAAAGAAAAATCAGTTAGTAAAGGAATGAGAAATAATGCGATTGCGTAGAAATATAAAATTTCTTCATTGCCGAAATAAATCCAAAGCATATAGATTGGTGTGAGAAAAGAAGGAGGAGCTTTTGAAAGAAGAGAAATAATTGTAATGGCATATTTTATTCGTGACCGTTTATTATTGACCGCCCACGGTTGCTACTTTGTTACTGCTTTCTGGATCAGCTGTTATTTCATAAAACCAACAGATGATGTTGCGTTGCGTTGCATTGCGTTTGTAATGGAGTAGTTCGGAGATTGCATACTGGCAACTGTCATGTCTATACTTTAACCAAAGGGTTGGTACACACAGGAAGGGGGTGGCAGCGTTCCGGAAGCTGATTGAAAAGATGACCATGAAGGGACTGCTACTGGTCATAATGCCGATTCAGAATGTGACTAGTGAGTTGGTTAGTGGAGAGATTGAAACCCTGAAGGAGGAAGTTAAAGGAACGTTGAAGGTGTTGATAGATCCATTTGTGGTGGGGAGATTCGTGACGGAGCTGAAATCACAGCCGAAGGAGGTTAAGTGGAATTGTAAAATGTTGATTGGTCAGTTGTTGGGCTTGAAGGTGAGCTCCTGAAAGTTGACATCGGTGAGTTGGTAGAAGGATAGGTTTAGCTCTTAGACATGACCCTGGTGGCTTGAAATAGAAATCCCGGCAGAGAAGAAGTCCCGGCGAAGTGTAAAGAGACAGATGTTTTCCATGGTGCCCAGCGATTGGAGCAGTTTGGTTAGCATTTAAACATCGCTATGTTTGCAATCATTCTCGTAGAACTGATCCGAACGCAGCTTTTAGCTTTTAGTCCATACAAAGGCCACCATCTGGTTGTAGTAGTTTTATCAGTGGTCGGTTTAGCATGTTTGATTCCGTAACGCTTCACTACTTCGTTGATCAGCCCGAGGATCAGCCAGCCAACATTCAGTTCCATGATTCGTTCCTCATCGTAACTGACATATGTAGATGTATTCACTTTATATGATCACTCGTACCATGTGATCTCGGAGTCTCATCCGAATCAAATGATTCCAAATGCTACGGATTCATAGAAATTAAAAAAAGGAACAATCTCACCAAATCAGTCCAAGTGAATCCTTAGCAAGCAGCTCTGTCAGTTCCGATCATAGACGGTCCGCCTTACGGAGATCAATAGCCGATTGCTCCAAGTGTAAGGGACCCAGTATTAGGTTTAGCACTGCAACTTGCATCTCCTTGACGCGATCACGAAAACGATGGGACGTCCGATGAAGGTTCCTTCTCACTTTCGAAACCGCTTGTCAACTGCAAGCCGCAGGGACGTAGAACCAGTATGCGTTCGGGGACGCAATGCAGCACTCGTACGTTTTTCACTCTCTTCAAACTTTAGTTATTATGTGCGAAACCGAACTTTTTGTCAGTGCGAACCTCAACCTGAGCTAGGTTTTAAAAACAAACGAGCAAACTGATGTTTGTCAGAAAACAAGCAGACCCAATCTTGATACCCGATCCAGGTTGGAACTGAATAATAAACGAATTCGCTATTAGTTTCAGCCATTTTGACCGGATAAGCAATTGAAAATAAACGTGGTAAAAACGAATGTCATGTTTGTTTAAACGCACAGCCTACTTCCACAGAGAACCAACAGATGCTGTTTGGGACTAACATAGGGGAAATGTATGTAATGTCGGCCTAAGTGTCCCTAATTTGGGCCCATACATAAATTCAGCAATCGACCAAAAATATCCATTAGTACCGTCCCAATGACGCGTTCATCTAGATACAATTCATCAATAGCAGATTTTTAGCGATGGGCCCAATGTTAGATCCATAGGCCAACATTAGAGCCATTTCCTCTACATCCTCAATGTTTAAAAACTGATGACCCGATGCTAAGCAGTACCAGCGCCTGCCGTGCCCGAATGCAGGTCAACTAAGGAGTGTAAAGGAATGTGATGGCGTGATACTCGCTTTGAAGGAAGCCGAGAACACTTCTGCACTTCCGCGAGAAATCACTGGGATTTTGAATGTATGGGGTAGGGTATGCAGCAGGGTTCGTTTTGGTAAACTTATGCTGAATGTAGCGACGCAGGACGACTACGACTTATTGTCGACCGGCTACGGCGATATGTTTGATGTGATGCAGCTTGGATTGCATCCCATGATTTTCTGCTCATTAAGCAAAAACGATCCCTCCAGGGTCATCGAGCATCTCAAAACCACAACACTCTAAGGAAAAATTTGATTAACCTGTCTTCATGGTAAGTAATAAGCAACAGAGTAGTAGGTAATAGTAGGTAGTCGTAGGTAGTAGGTAATCTTATGTAGTAGTAGGTAGTAGTAGGTAGTAGTAGGTAGTAGTAGGTAGTAGTATGTGGTAGTAGGTAGTACACACTTAGTTTTTTCTACCGACTTCGGCTGTGCAAATCTTGGCAAAAAAAGTTTCACTGAGATCTCAGCAAAAGTGACATTTGATTGCTGAGTCTCGGATAATGCTTAGCTGAATCTCAGCAAACAAATGAAATGTAGTAGGTAGTAGGTAGCATGTAATAGTATGTAGTATGTAGTAGTATGTAGTATGTAGTATGTAGTATGTAGTATGTAGTAGTATGCAATAGTAGGTAGTGTGTAATAGTAGGTAGTGTGTAATAGTAGGTAGTGTGTAATAGGAGGTAGTGTGTAATAGTAGGTAGTACGTAGTAGGTAGTAGTGGGTAGTATGGAGTAGTGGGTAGTATGGAGTAATATGTAATAGGTAGTAGTGGGTAGTATGTAGTATGTAATAGCTAGTAGTATATAGTAGTATATAGTAGTAGGTACTAGTATATAGTAGTAGGTACTAGTAGTAGGTAATAGATAGTAGGTAGTAGGTAGTGTGTAATAGATAGATGTAATATATAGTAGATAGTAGATAGTAGGTAGTAGGTAGTAGGTAGTCTGTTGTATGTAGTTTGTTGTATGTAGTCTGTTGTATGTAGTTTGTTGTATGTAGTTTGTTGTATGTAGTTTGTTGTATGTAGTTTGTTGTATGTAGTTTGTTGTAGGTAGTTTGTTGTATGTAGTTTGTTGCAGGTAGTAGGTAGTAGTGTGAAGTCTGCAGTAGGTGCTGGGTAGTAGCATGAAGTCTGCAGTAGGTGGTATGTAGTAGTAGGTAGTAGTAGGTAATAGTAGGTAGTAGTAGGTAGTAGTAGGTAGTAGTAGGTAATAGTAGGTAGTAGTAGGTAGTAGTAGGTAGTAGTAGGTAGTAGTAGGTATTAGTAGGTATTAGTAGGTAGTAGTAGGAAGTAGTAGGTAGTAGTAGGTAGTAGTAGGTAGTAGTAGGTAGTAGTAGGTAGTAGTAGGTAGTAGTATGTAGTAGTATGTAGTATGTAGTATGTAGTATGTAGTAGTATGCAATAGTAGGTAGTGTGTAATAGTAGGTAGTGTGTAATAGTAGGTAGTACGTAGTAGGTAGTAGTGGGTAGTATGGAGTAGTGGGTAGTATGGAGTAATATGTAATAGGTAGTAGTGGGTAGTATGTAGTATGTAATAGCTAGTAGTATATAGTAGTATATAGTAGTAGGTACTAGTATATAGTAGTAGGTACTAGTAGTAGGTAATAGATAGTAGGTAGTAGGTAGTGTGTAATAGATAGATGTAATATATAGTAGATAGTAGATAGTAGGTAGTAGGTAGTAGGTAGTCTGTTGTATGTAGTTTGTTGTATGTAGTTTGTTGTAGGTAGTTTGTTGTATGTAGTTTGTTGCAGGTAGTAGGTAGTAGTGTGAAGTCTGCAGTAGGTGCTGGGTAGTAGCATGAAGTCTGCAGTAGGTGGTATGTAGTAGTAGGTAGTAATAGGTAGTAGTAGGTAGTAGTAGGTAGTAGTAGGTAGTAGTAGGTAGTAGTAGGTAGTAGTAGGTAGTAGTAGGTAGTAGTAGGTAGTAGTAGGTAGTAGTAGGTAGTAGTAGGTAGTAGTAGGTAGTAGTAGGTAGTAGTAGGTAGTAGTAGGTAGTAGTAGGTAGTAGTAGGTAGTAGTAGGTAGTAGTAGGTAGTAGTAGGTAGTAGTAGGTAGTAGTAGGTAGTAGTAGGTAGTAGTAGGTAGTAGTAGGTAGTAGTAGGTAGTAGTAGGTAGTAGTAGGTAGTAGTAGGTAGTAGTAGGTAGTAGTAGGTAGTAGTAGGTAGTAGTAGGTAGTAGTAGGTAGTAGTAGGTAGTAGTAGGTAGTAGTAGGTAGTAGTAGGTAGTAGTAGGTAGTAGTAGGTAGTAGTAGGTAGTAGTAGGTAGTAGTAGGTAGTAGTAGGTAGTAGTAGGTAGTAGTAGGTAGTAGTAGGTAGTAGTAGGTAGTAGTAGGTAGTAGTATGTAGTAGTAGGTAGTAGTATGTAGTAGTAGGTAGTAGTATGTAGTAGTAGGTAGTAGTAGGTAGTAGTAGGTAGTAGCAGGTAGTAGTAGGTAGTAGTAGGTAGTAGTAGGTAGTAGTAGGTATTAGTAGGTAGTAGTATGTAGTAGTATGTAGTAGTAGGTAGTAGTAGGTAGTAGTAGGTAGTAGTAGGTAGTAGTAGGTAGTAGTAGGTAGTAGTAGGTAGTAGTATGTAGTAGTAGGTAGTAGTAGGTAGTAGTAGGTAGTAGTAGGTAGTAGTAGGTAGTAGTAGGTAGTAGTAGGCAGTAGTAGGTAGTATGTAGTAGGTAGTAGTATGTAGTAGTAGGTAGTAGTATGTAGTAGTAGGTTTTGTTTTTCTTTATTAGAGTGACTTTCAGTCACTGGCTGGTTCGTCGCTTATTTAGTAATAGCTAGTAGTAGGTAGTAGTATGTAGTAGTAGGTAGTAGTAGGTAGAAGTAGGTTGTATTCGTAACTTTTTCTTAAAAAATGTTGATTATGAATTAATATCCATTAATTTTTTTAAAAGAATGCCAAGCTAATCATGTATTGACCACATGAATGACTCAAATTTTCGATTAGCTGGAGATCATTTGAATAATTCCCGAAATATCTGAGAAATTGCATTAAATTTTTTTTATTAATTTAAGATCCTCAGATCTTCATCTTGATGTTGAGGTTTGAAAAACCGAACTAGAGCCATACCGAAATATCAATACTACAGTCAAAACCAGATCTAAGGACCAGAGGCATTACTTGAAATTTATGATCATCTGCTAACCATCAATCTTGGGAGAATATCTGGATACGTCATTTGTTGAACAGTTGCAGATCTTCTGAATAATAGTTGGTCATCTGAAAACATATCCAGAGGACTTTATTAAAACCTTAATTTATATCCGTGAAACTCGATGAATTCGCATTAAAATATTCAACGAAGTTTCTCGAAGATTTCTTCAAGGTTCGCGTACTCTAAAAAAGTTTCATTAATTAACACTCTGTTCTATGAACTAAGCTTTTTTATCGTGATGCCAAAAAAAAAACAAAGAAAAACCAGTAAAACTCGAACATTTGAAAGAAGAAGAAAAATACTTAAAAACAATGCATTTTAATTCCTTGATAAATTTAAACTTTCCAAATTTTCAGGAATGTAAGAAATTTCTTCAATTCCGTAAAAATCAAAAATCGTAGACTGAGAATCTCAAAACGCTTTCCAAGTCCAAATAGTCTGAAAAAAAAT